GGTCTGAGCTCCGTGCGGCCGGAGGCTGGTCTGTGGCAGCAGCCCCATCTGTGGGGGATGCGAGCTCTGACCCCCTGAGGACAGGAGCTGCTGCTGTGGATCAGCCTCTATCCATGGGGAGCTTGTACCTCCACGGACAGGAGCTGCTGCCGTAGGCCAGCCTCCGTCCACCACGAGCCCAGGCTCATCGTGCTAACATCCCTAGTCCAGAGGGACTTACCGCTGTTAGAGCTGGGAACAGAACTCTGCAATTCCTCATTCTCCATTCTGTCCTCAAACCACTAAAGCACATCCCTTTCGTTTCTATTTCTCCAGTTACAAGTTATTTCCAAACTGTGTCCCATCCTTTGGATTCCGCCATCTCTTGTCCCTCACGGATAAAGTCGACAGTTTCAATGAAGAAGTTCAGAAACAGAGGGTCTCTCGGAACAGAGATGCTCCCGAAGGTGGTTTTGATGCAATCCTGCAGGCTGCTGTGTGTAAGGTGAGTGAGTCGCTGGTTGTGAGTGCGGCTTGGGTTTTAAAGCACAAGAAAACGGAAGTCTGGGAGCTGTCCTCAACTCTGTCCTGGCAATAGAAAAAAAACCCTCCAGCATTTTGTGATTTCTCAGACATCACCATTCACTTTTGCAGAGAGCACATAGCAAAGATACCGGGGAAAGGGAAGATAGTTCTTTTGTTATTATTTTAAAGATCTCGGCGTATGTAGCACAACCATTGGTACATTGCATAGTTCAAAGGGATAAAGAATGTGAGTCCCTGCAGATGTGAATTTAGGTAGGGCTCTTTGTAACTTAATTTCTCTGGCCCACTTGCTGGTCCACCAATGGCATCTCTTTCAGTGACCACGTGAGTCGAGTTCTTGTGTTTGCAGTAAATCCCAGGCATGCACTTCATTTGCTACAATTCGTTGCATGGTCCTGGCACAGTAAGTTTGAAAGCTTTCTATGCCTGTAATGACAATCTCCTTGCATCACTCCTGAAGCCCAGCACTTTGAGTTCCACGTGTTGAGCTTGGCCAGAGGGTCTGGTCAGCCATACTGGAAAAGAGACAGGCGAGAAACAATTCTTTAAACAAGGGACTTTAATTTGTTAAAGCAGGCTTTAGTCTTAGAAGAGTATTTATGGCTGACCAGACCCTCTTTACTATTTGCGATTACTTAAATCTTTGATTTTTCAGTATTTCAGTACACATGCATCTGACGAAGTGGGTCTTTGCCCACGAAAGCTTATGCTCCTACACTTCAGTTAGTTTGTAAGGTGCCACAGGACTTCTTGCCGCTTTTGCAGTATTTCAGTGTCAGGTTTGTGGTGACAACACTTGCTAGGGAGCCTCTGAAGTTCGGAATGAACTTCTGATGGGGGAGAGTATGTATGTAGCACATTAGGTAATTGCACTATGTTCTTCTTGGCATTTGTTTTCATAGATGATAAGAACACGCTATCGCTGACAGCTAAAGGAGTTTTGTCCTTTAGTTCCAGTGGTGGAGGCCTATGGTTTTGGTATTTATGGCCTCAGTTTCACTTCCTGCTGGTGATCCCGGGTGTGTTTTGTTATGATTATTTATCTCCACAATATGAAAAGAATAGTTCTTTGCACAGCCTCCTGAGCAAAGGAAGAGAAACCACTGGATTCTTCTGGGAGAGGGACAAAAGGGGGCATGGTTCTGGCTATGCCCTTTCATGCCAGCCAGGACCAGGTCAGCCATAGAAGTCAATGCACACTGAACCATCTTCCTTTGTGGCGTAGTGGCCCAAACTCCCACTGTTGTGTGGCTGGGATCTCCAAGACGCGTCCATTGCCCACAATGAAAGGACACACTGCAGGCAAAATCAGCAGTCGCTTCAGAGGTACAGATGGGTATCTTCATGTCTTATGCATATGTTTTGTTTGGCATCTGGTTTCTGAACTTCCTATGTTTCCCTTAACGTTGCCTCGGTTACACAGGCCAAGATTTTCAAAAGTGACTAGAGATTTTACATACCTTCACTTTTGGGTGCCCAACTTGAAACACCTTAAAAGGGTCTGATTTTTCCTGAGAGGGCATTTCTGAAAACGAAACCCCTTTCTAAGGTGTCTTAAGTTGGACCCCCAAATCTTGGGCAACACTTAGTCACGTTGAATACCTAAATTATCTAAATATTTCAGCGCATTCAGTGCTTAGTACAGAGCTGCTTCTCTGAGTGAGCTGTCTGAGAAGTGCTGTATCTCTGAGTCATTCTTTGGGTCTGTCTCGTTTCTTTTTTTATACTCATAGAGTGGGAGAGATTTGTACAGTTAATAAAAACAACTGTACCAACATTTGGCTCCTTTTTCAAAGACATTATGGTAAAAATCAACAGTGATGGGCTAAATGTCATACATTAAGCAATGAAAAAAGCAGGCACAATGAGCCTTTATGTTGAGACTCAACTTGCTAGCCAGGAATATTAACGAGTCTTCTGTAATTACATTTTCCACTTGCAGCTTTTTGGCTCCCTGCTGTGTTTAATTTTAAGTACAAATATTGTCGATGTCTAAGTTTGTGTATCCTACACGAAGTGAAGTACAAGAAGAAAATAAGAGTGATTAGTCCCTTTTCACTTAGAAAATATCCTTTGGAAAATTGACTTGAGCAGTAGAAAATACACCTAACTTAAAAACAAGCCCTCCACCTGTTGCTTTCCATTCCTCTTCCAATTCATTCCTAAATATTTGGCTCATACATCTGAAGATTCTCGCTGTAGGTATCTAACTTTTAGGGCAATATTTTCATCAGTGCCTAAATGATTTGGGAGCCCAAGTCCCATTGAAAGCCACTGGGATTTGTGCTCCTAATCATGTAGGTGTTTCTGAAGATGTCAAACGACAATAATAAAGTGGTCTGTTTTTCTAGGTGTGTTCACTGGGGACTCAGAGTGATCAGTGCATCCAAAAATCAGGTCTTCTATAGGTTTCAAAATAGGGATTTAAATATTTTAGGCATCGGCGTTTGAAAATTTTGATATCAGATTTGTTGTTTTTTCATTCTCTCACAGAGTTCAGAGATCTTGGGATCTGCTGAAATTTCACTGAAAACATGATTTATTTTTACCATTGGAAATGCAGGTTTTAGTACAGAAGGCTTGAATCTCATTGCTGCTTCATTCTTTCAGTTGTTGCTCACTCTCTAGAGGAAGCAATGCTATTTACTCATGGAGTTACAGACCTGCTACAAACCCCATGGAAACCAATGGAAAGTCTCCTATTGACACCACTTGGCTTAGGATCCCGCCCTGTATCCCATCCTTTCAAAAGGGCACCTTCTGTTTCCATGGATATAAAAAAGGTGTGGGGGGTGGGGGCAGGAGGTACAGGCAGTCCCCGGGTTACGCGGACCCGACTTATGTCGGATCCGCAGTTACGAACGGGGTTTGCTGCCCATCTCCCTGGTCTGCTGGAGACCAGCAGACCAGGGAGACGGGAAGCAAAGCCTCTGAGGACGCTGGCAGCGGGACAGCCGTGGCGCGTCTGGGCTGTCCGCTGCCCGCGTGCGCCGCGGCTTTGCTCCCCGTCTCCCCAGACCAGGGAGACGGGGAGCAAAGCCGGGGAGCACGCAGGCAGCGGACAGCCCAGACGCGCCATGGCTGTCCCGCTGCCGGCGTCCTCAGAGGCTTTGCTCCCTGTCTCCCTGGTCTGCTGGTCTCCAGCAGACCAGGATCTGTAATTTCCCACATATTCTTTATTCTCTTTTTAAAAGTCAGGTCTTCTTCAGTCCTCTGGGGCCTCCAGGGTTCTCGAAGATAATTACTAATGGTTCCAAGTTTGCAAGTTTGCTTCAGTTAATATCTTATGTAACCAGGATGAATTTCATCAGGTACTACTAACTTGAATCTACCTAATTTATCACAATATTCTTTAATCTGTTATTTTCCTATTTTGTCTTGGGTTCTTCCCTCGTGTTGTGAATAATTGTATTAAATATCTGGTCACCATTAATCTTTTTAATGAAACCTGAAGCATAATAGGCATTAAACCTCCCAGACCTTCTTGATGTCATCAGATCTTCTTCCTCACTAAGCAGACTAACACTTTCTGATGTCTTCCTCATGCTCCTAACATTTTTAAAGATCTCTTCTTATTACTGCTTATACAGGCAGTCCCCGCAGTTACGAACGGGGCCCTTCCTCTCCCTGGTCTCCAGCAGACCACGGAGAGGAAGCAAAGCGGTGGAACACGCGGGCAGCGGACAGGGTTATCCGCTGCCCACGCGCTCCGCGGCTTGGCTCTGCTTGCTTCCTGTAGTCAGCCGCTGGTCAGTTTCAGCAGCGGCTGAATCTGGACGCCAGTTCCGACTTACATACAGATTCAACTTAAGAAGAAACCTACAGTCCCTATCTTGTACGTAACCCGGGGACTGCCTG